TTCCACTCTCCCCAGGCAGATAAGTAAGGGTTTCTCATATATACTTACAGGGTTTCTCATGCATATGTAAGCAAATCTATAAAGAGCCACACACACTTCTCTCCTGTCCCCTCCTTTTATAGTACAAAAGGCAGCATACAGTTCTGCACTTCATTTTTTTTTCTTTCTTTCTTTTTTTGTGAGGAAGATTGCCCCTGAGCTAACATCTGTTGCCAATTTTTCTCTTTTTGCTTGAGGAAGATTGTCCCTGAGCTACCTCTGTGCCAATCTTCCTCTATTTTGCATGTGGGACACCACCACAGCATGGCTTGATGAGTGGTGTGAAGGTCTGCACCCGGGATCCGAACCTGCAAACCCCGGGACACCGAAGGGGAGCACACACACTTAACCACTATGCCACGGGGCCAGCCCCCTGCACTTCATTTTTAATCACTAAGTATATCCTGGTGATCTTTCCATATTAGTACCAGGAGGGATTCCTAATTATTTTTACAGCTGCATAGTATCCCATTTATATATTTGGTGTGCGTGTGTGTGTGCATGCAGATAAAACAAATTTAACCAGACCAAACCAATGGACATTTAGTTTATTTCCAGTCTTCTGCCATCATAAACAATGTTGCAGTGGGCATCCTTTTACATATGTCATTTCACATGTATGTAAGCACTGCTGCTGTATAAATGGGGTTAATAGGATTTGGACAATTTGTATGTCAATCAGTTTAAGCACTACTCAATCCCGATGAATTCTATTACGAGTAGCGCTAATAACACATTTTGAATTCAAGGCAATGCCATAGTTGAAGATATTTTTCATTGTTTCATTTAAAAGGCCACAGGAAGAAGCTCTGTTCTTTGCTGCTAGTAGGGGGGAGGATGTTTCTTTTCTCACTACTAAGAAAATATAATTTTAAGAATATTTATTATTCCTAAAAATCTTTTAAGATGCTCTGCTTTAGATGATAAAACTACTGAGGGGCCCCTCATCTGAAAATGGAGAGGCTGCTTGGTTCTCCCAACTGAAGTGAACCTGGATTCAAATCCTCTTTGCTTAGTATTCTTTCCACTTTGTTTTTTAGCATCGTAGTTATAATTCTCCATCACCTGAATTTCCTTATTCATTAAACAGGTCCATCCATAAAAATCTGTCTTAGAACAGTTTTCCTCTACCTTTCCCCCAAGTGAAAAGCAAAAGGTCTCTAATTTTGATATGTGGACATTCATTTAGCCTGCTGATCTGGACACAGGTGAGAAGTCAAGTGATGCCCAGGGTGACAGTGATGAGACGTGGACTAAAGTCCCACTATACTTGGTAACCTTTCACGGCCCCTGGGTGCCAAGAGTTCAAAAGAAGATAAAATGATGGTTCCACAGCTGAATTGAGAGCAAAGTTACTAATGGCAGGCTGGCACCTTCTGTTTTCCCTGACAAAACTTCCACTGTTTGTCAGAGGGTGGGGACTGCTGTGGTTGGGGAGAGGTGTGAGAGGCTGAATTTTAGGGAGATTGCAAACTGTTGCAATGGGAGAAAAGAGTATGTAACTTTTTTGAGGTGTATGACAACAACTCAAAATATATACTGAAATAGAGTAGAGAGATCCACATCCTTGTTGCTGTGATGGCACCATGACATCAGTAACATCTGAGAGGGTGGAAATCAGACATTCCTCATCTTCACTAAGTTACCCAGGGACCTCAAGAAATCAAGATGACTAGAAAACAGAGGATCCTGGTAGAGTAACAAAAATGTGTAATGTTGTATTTATTTATTTAATATGACATGTGCTGCTAAATTCTCCCCAACCCTCCGTAGAAATTGCCCTGGGACTGTCACATCCACAATAGTCTTTTCAGCCCTCTTCTTACGGTCTCTGAAGAATCTGGAGGGAGTCCTTCTTAAAATATCTTTCTCCCCCAGTTTCCAAGCCTCTCCCTCCAGGGTCTTCTTTCCTCTCTGAGGACTCTTCTCAGTCTCGTTGGCCAGCTTCCTTCTCCTCCTGGGCCTGCCCCGCAGTGTTATCATCACGCTCTCATAGCTTCTCCTCCTGGGCCTGCCCCGCAGTGTTATCA